CACCCTGCATTATCAGATTAAGCCATGCAGTATTTAAAAGCTAGGTGATGCCAGAACATGTCCGCGGCAAGGCCAACCATCCTGCCAGGACACCCTTATCTCTGCTTGGAGCTGCTGCTGTAGAGCACTCTGGTGGGGACCTTCCATCTGTGCAATGTCATCTTTTAAGAACAGCCGTGCTTATGGACAATGTTGTATGCTCCCCCAAGAACACAAGCCTGTCTGTAACTTACAGTGAAAAGGCAAATTTAGAGCCTCCTCTGAGCCTGGGGCAGAGCTGTTCACAGGTCTCTTGACTACAGAGCAGGTGCTGCTAGTGGCCTGTGGGGGTCAAGCCTGGTGTTAATTCAGGCTGGGCACTAGTGTTCTGATTTTAACAGATGGCCTGAAACATCAAACAACAGTCAGCACTACTAGCTTAGCATCTGATATTGGTACTTCTTCAACCAAGAGAATGGTTGAAGTGTTCTGTTCCCTTTTTGGGGAACAAAACCCCAAAACTATTCAAGACTTACTTGATCCGAGTCAAGTGTAACGCGCAGGCCTAGCTTTGTCATTCCATCTTCTTTCAACAATTTAAGATGAGGACAGAGCGCTAAACAGAAAGCCTTTGCAACGTTTTCAGTCAGTCTGCTGTGATCAGCTGGGTCACTCAGACCATTATGTTGCTCATCATTTTCTAGGAAAAACACCTGAAGGAAAGAATTAACACAAGACACAACACTTGGCTTTTCTAGAAAATAAGGTTACTGAGGTGCCATTTAAACTTCTTACAAATGAAGACTTAAAGGAGAGCCACTGGGGGTAGACCAGCAAAGGACTCTTGAAGACAAGCCACCTTAGGGGGGAAAAAATAATAAAAAAAGAGATTTAAATAATCGTGTTCTCAAAAACCTTTCAGTTCTGGTCAAAAGCCTCATTATAGAAATTCACTCTGTTTTCCACATAGTTTTTAATAAAAACCTGCTTTTAAACAGATGTTAAGTTTAGAAAATTCACATTTTTAGTAGAAGCCATCTTAGCCTGAAGATTTGTACTACTGTTGTCACTGAACTTGTCTCTCCTGAGCCCAAGTGACCTGGGGGAAAAAAGGATTAGGAGGGTAGCAAGCTGCAGAATAACACAGTTCCTCCTGGGCAGGTTAAGTGAAACGCTTGAAGAAATCTTTTAACATTAGCGTTTGTGTGCTGGCAGAGTCACAGCTAACATCAGCTATGCAAGCTGTTTCTGCAAGTGATTTATGCCATAGCACTTCAACTTGCAACATTTTAGAGAAGGTGGCTCAAAAGAACATTTTTTTAAAAAATAGTTACTAAGATTTGTGTCTGCTTAAAAAGGTAGTTTTTAACACAAATGCAGATGAAACCAACTGTTACCTTAGGTAACAACATAAGCAAGTATTTTTCTGTTTTCCCCCACGTTCAACAACCGTATGGGAGAAGAGGTGGCCAGCGCAGAGTAGGCTGTAGAGGTTGGCTGCGGTAGCAGCCTGAGCTGTGCGTCGCGGTAGGGTATTTTCTTCCACACAATCCTATATCGACTCTGTCCTTGCAGGTAGGAAAGGTAATACAGGTTTTTCTGAAGAATCTGCTGCTCTAATTTTGGCCAGTGGGAGGAGCAGGTCGAAGGAAGACCAGGCAGTAGCTACAATCCCAAAATGCCAAGCGTTGGTTTACATGCAGCTCCAGCTGACTGACTCACCTCTGTCCACCGAATGACCTTTCCGTTTGCCTTGTACTCCGAGCCGTGAAATATCTTCACGCTTGTTATAGATTCCATTGATTTGCCATCGATAGGGCTTACAACGCTGTAAGAGGGAGGGAAAAGGGTAAGCGCCGGCTTAGCAGAAGACATGAGCTGAACAGAGACCACTGCAAGAGAGAACTACATGGGATCGAAGGGCAGCTCCTCTGCTACTCCTGAACGCTCCCAACTGCCTCGCTGCAGGTTTTTTCGTCACTGGGCGTTCTGCAGTTTGAACTGCTGCTGCACAGCAGCTTACCACATCAGCTTAATGGGACATAGACCACAATTAGTCTCAGAATGGAAATGCCCAAAGGCTTCTCTCGGGGTTCCAAAACCAGTGATCTTGAATGCAACTGCTAATTGTGACGATGGTGCTGAGCCTGGAGCTTCACAGTGAGCAGCCCTTCTGGAATGGGCTCGTTCAGGGCTGGGCAGGAGGGAAAAGCCGAGGGGCAGCGTGCTCCCTGCTGTCCCCTGCAGCCCCAGCCTCTGACACCCAGCCTGGTCAATACACACAAACCAGAGCAGGAAGGACCTTCCTGCAGGTTTTCAACAAAGCTTCGCACCAGAGCGGAGATCTCGTAAGCTGCTAACACAGCAATGAGGCGTTTCATACAGATTTGATTTATTCATTTGTAACCTCAGTGTAGGCCAGCAATACCTGAAACACTACGCACACAGCCCAGAATTTAATTACAGAACCCAAGACTGACCCAGAGAGCTGAAACTACAGAAATACCCTTCTTTTTAGATGCTGATTCCTTAAACTTGATTGTACCCATCACAACAGCACTTTACTGCCGTAAATACTTAAACTGCCATATACACCTTTGTTTTGGCTTAACAATCAAGAGCCCAAATACACCGCCGATGTTCAGCAACTTTATTTCCAGCGCCAATTAATGCAAACTTAGCACCAAGAGAGCAAAGTGACCACAATATGCAGGGTTCAGCACTGAGCACTGGAGACAGATTAGCTGTTTCCAATAACTGGATATTAGCAATGGCAAAAAAATCCATAACACTGACAACTTTCTAAATTGATGCCCCAAAGCTCTGGTGTCTCAATTCCATTTTCATAACATTTAATTGCAGCTTATCACTCAAAACAGAGACACAGACTTATAATTCCTATTGATTTCAAGACTCATGCACCTAATTAAGATCAATTAAAATTTTTAACAAATACAGTCAGTCACCGTTTAATGTCAAGCAATTGCTCCTCTACTTACCCCTTACTGAAGTTTTTATCATCTTCTACCCACTGAATATGAACGTGTTCCTGAGGATCTTCAGCATCTACTTTGCCGCAAGTGATGGTGAAGTCTTTCATCTCCCTCAAGGCCTGCCTCAAGGAGTCCATATTCTCAGCAGTTATCTGGACCATTACTCCATCTAGGGAACCAAGAAATCCTCATAAGCCAAGATAAGCACACTGAACAGAGCCTATACAAAAAAGAAAGAAACAACCTTCCTCTTTTTCTAACAGAAAGGTTAAACATCTATTTTAAAGAGTCAGGGGCAGCAACACTACGTAAAACCATTTCTGAACTCTCAGATTCCTAAAACGAAGCACTGATGAGCGTTACCTAGGGAAACCACAAGGATAATGTGACGTCCATCTACCAGGTAAAGCCAGCTGTAGCAATGGCTGCATTAGTTTGCCTCAAAACTTGACCCCTGCTCGAGGCTACCCTCAGCTACCCTGTGTGACCCCCCTCCATTCAGCTACCACCTCCATAGGCACTGGAAGCAGCACTCCAGCGGTGACAGTTTTGGGAAGTCAAAGCTTGCCTGACATGGCAACAGGTAGAGACTTTGGATTGGATCAGTCTAAATTACTTAGGAACGATACACTTCACCAGTGTACAGACTCCTTGCCTGAATCCACCTGTACCTCTGTCTTGCACTAAACCACATATTTAGACACAGAAAAGAGTGTAATGACCTACTTATACTGACTGACAGTCAGATGGCTGCTTTTCAGCCCTGGCTGACCACTCGCCCATGGACTGCACACTCGTACAGCTGCAAGCTCTCAAGTTGGAGCAGCTTAAGGAGTTCCCGCTTGTCAGTGGAGCTGTGCTGACTGACTGCACACATGGGCTTCTTGCATACCTCACCACAAACTGTAAGGAGCACACTTAAAACACTACTGTCTGCACTGTCACATCTGTGGTGAGGTTAAACTACGAAGTTCTGTAGCTCAGGTAACAAGCAATTACAGCTTTCAATCAGTCTACACAGTCGTCATTTACTTCTGTGACATGACAACTGGTAACAGAAGAACAAAGCAAATCAGACAGGTTAACAGCTCAACAGTCTTGACTTTCCATGTTCTCATCTGCCCACATACAAGCATATAAACAATGCACGTTCATAATCTTACATAATGCAGAGCTATCTGGGAATGGGGGAAGTTCTTCAGGGCTTCCTCTCCTGGTCGGTGGATTACACATTCCGTATTTCTTAGGCTCACAATTTCCTCACTCAACCCAAACCAGTAAACTGATCACAGGCTCACAAGCCAGGCATTTCATATTGTACCCTCATTTTCTCGTGTCCCTGTTGTAGGGCATCTGGGCAAGTTCCTCCTCATTAAAGGAAACGGGGATTTTTGGCTAAAAAGTAGGATAAAGCTGAAGCAGCAGCATGATTCGAATGCGCAAGGCGTAACAGCAGAGCCCTGAAAACTACGGCACTGAGCTGTGTTAAAAAGGAAGCAGCGTGTTTTAAGCAAGCAGTTCAGTTCTTACCTTCTACTATACTGGATTTGGCAAGGTAGCCTGAAGAGGGTTTTAAAGCTCCACTGAACACAAAGAAGCTGGCACCAGTCACTGCAACAACAACAGGAGTGATTTAGTGAGGCTTTCGTTAACACAATGAATCAGGTATCACAGCTCTGTCGTCCAGAGAGGTGATTAATCTAAATCAGGACAAGTACTGCTTAGAATTACAGTGAGTTTAATGCACATCACAGGCTTGGATATGGAAGGGCAAATCACCCAGTTATTTTCTAAACCAGACAACAGTTTTTGTCAACCTTAATAAATGCTCATAATTTCATCACTCTTCCTCTCCCCATACAGACCTCAGGACTACTAATTTAGGGTAGCCAAGAACATAATCCACACAGCTGGAGAAGGTTGTGAGTGAGCTGTTTATGGATCACACTGTAACATCAACCCACTGGCAAAGCCACAGCTCAAACCCACCTGATTTAAAGTAAAGTTCCCTTTAATGAGCACTAAGCATCATGAAATTCCTGC